TTGTAAACTTAAAATTGCTCTTAAAAAAAAAAAAAGAGTCTTTTAAAAAATGATGGTACATCCATATGGAGTACTATGCAGCAATAAACAAGATGAAGAAGATCTATAAAAACTGACATGGAGTGATTTCCAGGACATAGTGTCAAGTTGTAGGGAAAAAGTATATTCTTTTGTGTAAAAAAAGAAAAACTTTTAAATATCTATCTTTTTATATTTGAAAATAAATGCAGGTATGATAAATCAGAAATTAATGATATGAGTTGCAACACAGGATAAACGGAAAAACACTGGATGGAGAAAAGGAAGACACTTCTTCTGAGTGTCTTTTTTCATCTGATTTTAACTTTTAGAACCATATTAATATTTTACATACTCAAAAATCGACTCAACAAGGATAGAAAAACCTCTAAATGGAATAATGTAACTATATGGAAGGATAGAAAAATTAATCCAAGTATTTTTTTAAATGTTTTTTTAATTTTCAATTGCAGTTGGCATACTATATTATATTAGTTTCAGATGTACAACACAGTGATTGGGTATTTATAAAACTTGTGGAGTGTTCGCCCTGATAAATCAAACACCTAGCTGACACCATACATAATTATTACAGTATTATTGACTATATTCCCTATGCTATACTTTACAATCCCATTACTGTTTTGCTTCTACCAATTTGCACTTCTTAATCTATTTCCCCTTTTCATCCATCTCCCCAAACCCCCTCCCATCTGGCAACCATCAAAATGTTCTCTGTATCTATGAGTTTGTTCCTGTTTTGTTTGCTTACTTGTTTTTTAGATTCCACATGTAAGTGAAATCATATTGTATTTGTCATTCTCTGCCTTACTTACTTCCCTTAGCATAATAGCCTCTAGGTCCTTTAATTTTGGAACACAAACTTCTCATTATAAATTCTTAATCTAGCCTGGCCGGTGTGGCTCAGAGGTTGAGCATCGACCTAGGATCCAGGAGATCGAGGTTCGATTCCCAGTCAAGGCACATGCCAAGGTTGTAGACTCAATCCCCAGTCGGAGGCGTGCAGGAGGCAGCCAATCAATGACTCTCATCATTGATGTTTCTAACCCTCTCTCCCTTTCCCTTCCTCTCTCTGAAATCAATATAGACATTTAAAAAAAAAAAAATCTTAATCTAGAGACACAAAGAATTGGATGTATTTCTTGAATTCCACTTAGTAGATTTGTTTTTTTCTCCGTGGTATTGGTTGGCAATTTGTACATTCCTATATTGTAGGATTGAGCCAATGAGTACATATGTTGATGATGTTGGGAACCAAATTTCTCACTATTGGAGAATGAAGTTAGAATCATGAAACAGGAAAAGGTTAGCAAGAACTATGTAGTACTGGGTAGTAACTGAACTCATTGCTTTTTATACATGTCGTTATAGATAGACAGAAACAGAGATATAGATACAGATGTATTTTTGTTGACTAAGGAAGCCTGGATGCAATGATAACCCCAGAAGTGATTAGGGCACCAGCGTCCACTAACTGGAACTAGGAGTCCTTGGAGTAATGGTTGATCCAGAGTTAGCAGAGGAAAGCGCAAGATGAGCTTAAAACACTTTTTTTGTGTACCAAAAAGTAAGGAAGTGCACAAAAAATAATGAATGTATGTCAAAACAACACAAGAGCCCACTTAAAGGTGCTCCCACAGGCCAAATCTGGGGCAATTTAAGTACCAAAAGGAAAAATTATTATAGTGTTTGATCCATTGGTATCCATACATATAACTAACAATAAACAAACAAAAAATGAGAAGGGAATGCTTTTCCTTACAATAGAAAGCTAATAAATGTAGAAGGAATAATGGTAGCTTTAAAAATCACCCCTTTGTAACTGTCATAGTAAAATTTAAATCAGAGGAGAATTATTAATGGATACTAAAGCCAGTGGGTAAAAATGTAACAAGAGCAGGATTCTTACAGGGTATTTGTCTCACGTACCTCCCACAAATAACATAAATTACAAAGGGAAAATACTACCTTTACAGAAGAGAAGCCCGGTGAACACCCATCTCCTCAAACCCCTTCCCATATCAAATTTGGCAAGTGATCAATAATAATGGCGCAAATGAACATCTAGTGCTTCCAGGTACGAAGCACTGAGGACACTTTATCACTGATGTAGTGCTCCTGTCAAAAATGCCACTCAGAAATCTAATCACGAGGAAATGTCAAACAGACCCAGACTGAGGGACAGTCTACAAAATAAATCACCTGCACTCCTCAAAAATGTCCTTATTTGGTAAAAGCTGAGGAATTGTTGTACATTATAAAAGATCAAAGAGAAAAGAAAACTTAATGCAATGAATGATTTTGTTTTGGATCCCAGAATGAAAATTATAAATGACATTAATGAAAATATGAGAAAAATTTTAATTAGATCTATATATTAATAGTACTGTATCGACATTGAAATTCCCGACTGTGGTTGTGTGTTAATGTCCTTGATCTTAGGAAATATACACTGAAGTATTGGGGAGTAAATAGGCATGGTGACTACAATGTATTCTAAGAAAGCTTGGGGGGGTGATAAAGATATATAAAATACATAGAGAAAATGTTAACACTTGGTGAGGCTGGGTGAGTGTTATACAAGAGTTCTTTATACTATTCTTGCAACCTTCTTGTATCTTTGAAATTTTTTCTCAATAAATATTTTTAAGTACAACTAACTTTATTGTTAACACTTCCAAATTTTAAAAATAAAACAAAGTCATTATAAAAATAGGCTACGTTACCCAGTTGGCGTGGCTCAGCGGTTGAGCTTCCATCTGTGATCCAGGCGATCGTGGCTGGATTCCCAGTCGGGGCACATGCCTCGGTTTCGGGCTCGATCCCCAGTAGGGGCCGTGCAGGAGGCAGCCGATCAATGACTCTCTCATCACTGATGCTTCTATCTCTCTTCCTCTCCCTTCCTCTCTCTGAAATCAATAAAGACATATTTAATAATAATAGACTACATATTAAAAGTTAAAAAGTAGCAATTACAAATCCTGTGTAATTCCACAACCAGTTAAATCATTGGTGTCCCTCCTTCAGAATAACTTTACATACATATTTCTTTTTAGTGGGTCAATGAGTATACAAAAGGAAAATAGAATATCACATAATATCTATGCCAAAAAAAATTTTTTATTGCCAATTTTTTTTTAATACTCACCTGAGGATATTTTCTCCATCGCTTTTCAGAGAGAGGAAGGGAGAAAGAGAGAGAGAGATCGTTGTGAGAGGGACACATCGACTGGTTGCCTCCTGCACTCGCCCCTGGGGGATCGAGCCTGCAACCGAGGTATAAGTGCCCCTGGTCAGAATCGAACCCGGGACCCTTTAGTCTGCCGGCTGACACTTTAACCACTGAACCATACCGGCTAGGGCTATGCAAAAAAAAAATTAACTTGAATTTTCCTCTAACTGAAATTTTTATTTCTATGTTGACAAATCATTTGAAAATAATTTCGAAAATGATTTAGTCACTTTCAGAGAAACTCAGAAGCAATGAGAGCATCAGAGTTAAACTCAGTTCAAGGTTGTAACCATCCTCCATTTATCTCCCCATAGTGGGGTCTAAATTCCAGGTGATTTTATCTAGTTCCCAGGCCTTGGTGGGGCAGGGGAACATTGTTTAGAGGGATTTTATCTGTATACAGGATATTAACATTTTACCATATAGCTGGAAATTGTTTCCAATTTGTGTCTTGTCTTTTAGCCTCTGTGTATTGTATATTTTTCACTGCATAAATTTTAGAACTAAATCCTACAAGTGGAAAAAATATTTTTTAAAAATTCAATGGCATTAAGCTAACATTTCAATTAGTTGTAATTAATTACCATAATTCAATTGAAATTCTAATAGAAATAGCTGTGTTATTTTGAAGCTCATGCCACAAGATTTTCATCACCAGCAAAGCTTGTGTCCCCTGGAAGAACTGAACTGTGTTTGTTTTTTAGAACTGGTCTTTATAATAGAAGAATCTGGAACGTTGCCGACCTGGTCCTCCAAAAAGCTGACCAACGGTATTGACCTTCAGATAAGTACTGGGATCTCTGATTATAACCACATCTTGAAAATTTAAAGTGATACATAGGCAGAGGGTATTTTTTATTTTAAGCAGTCCAAAAAGGGCACAAAATAAAAATTTTATCTCCCACTCTCTTCTTACTATTGATTTCTGCCTCTCCACCCAGCTTTATTATAGAAATCAAGGGTTGACAAACCAGAGTGTGGGCCAAATCTAGCCCTAGATCTGTTTTTGTAACTAAAGTTTTACTGAAACACAGCCACTCTAAGTCCTTTTACATTATCTCTGACTACTGCACTGATGCAATACCAGAGCTGAGTAGTTGCAACAGAGACTGTGTGACCTAAAACATTTAACTGTCCCTTTATAGAAAAAGTTTGCTGACCCCTAAAAAATGATAGCATCCTATACATATATTTTACCACTTGCTCTTCATTTAATAATAGCCATATACACAATATATAGATCAACCTATTTCTTTATAGTAGGGGGAGAGTATTTCATTGTTTGTTTAAACAAATTCCATCACTTGCTCAACCAGTCTTTTAGGTTGTTTTCTGGTCTTTGCTAGTGTAAAAGATGGCGTTTTCATGCATTTGTATAAAGTATATCTCTTGGCACAGTTTTTACAAGTGAAATTACTGAATGAACATAATGTGCATTTTTTATTTTAATAAATGTTGCCTAATTGCCAAATGCAGGAAGTTTTGTGACAACGCCGATCGTCGGATGGATTCGGTTCCAACGTGACACCTACTTTTGCTGTCCTCCCTTGTGTTTAGATAATGCTGGGCAGAAAAACATGGTCAAAGATGATAAACGAGGCAACAGATATAATAAAGAAGGTATAATGTAGCTCAGTCTCTGCAAAAGAAATGTAACTTTAAAATAATACATTTTTCGAAAGAAGTAAAAGAGAGAGTGGAACAATGAAAATAAAACACGGCATTCCGAGGAATTAGGGACTTTATGATTCTTCAACAGAAAACATCATTTACATATTCTCAAAATTGTTTTATATGTTTAGCTAAACAGTGGTTTCAAATGTGGGTAAAAATGTCTTTAGTCGCAAAATTTCAGAGACAGGCTGTGCTTTTTCCTGATAAAAGTCAAGCCCAGTAAGAAGTTCCACATCGCGGACCCGGGCAACATGCGCTTTCAACCTTTCTTCAACCCAAGCCGGTGTTGCTTTATGCTCCTAAAAGGGAGAAACGAAAGACCGTTTTTCCATGGGGCATAATTTTTCATTAATAGAAAGATCTTTCATTACTTAGAAGTTGTTCTTTTTCCTGTGATTTTTGTTTGCTTTTTTAAAATTTTGGTATAATTGACATACAATATTCTATTAGTTTCGGGTGTACAAAGTAATAATCTGATATTTGTTTCTGTGGTATTTGCTACCTGAAATCTTAATTTGACACAGCTAAATTTTGTTGTTTATTAAAATAAAAACAGTACAAAGAATATTATAACAAATACAGATAACCAAAAAGTCATCAAGTTTAGCCATTTTTATATCCACTTCAGATGTAACTTTTTTTAAAAAAATGAAGCGTTACAGATGAAGTTAAGTCCCCAATGTTTCTCTACTCAGAGCTCATCATTTTATGAGTCAATATGAATTGAGTCTGTGCATATCCATATACAATGTATACTACTGATTTATGAGTTTTCAAATTTACGTAAGTGATAAAAGTGGTATTCAAAAATTACTTTTTCATTCAACATTGTGTTTGTAACCTATTTATAGTGATATATCTAGATCTAGTTAAATCCTCTGCTTGTAGCTATATTTTGTGGTAGCACAGTTTATTTTTTTTATTGCCATATTGATAGTATTTGGGGCATTATAAATAATACTGTAATGAATGACTTGGCACATGCCTCTTGTGTTCAAGAACATGAGATTTCTCGGTCAGAGTCCACGAAACCTTAACTTTACCAGATATAAGCCTAACACTCCTCAAAGTGTTTATTCCAATTTGTGTTTCCATTGGCAGTGGGGGATAACTTCTATCTTCCCTCACCCTTCCTAAACCATGGTGTGAAGTAGTGTTTTATCCCTGCGTTATTGCAGGTAGGTATCTTTTCAGATATTTCTTGGCCATTTGACTTCTAATAGGTTTTTTACTATGTAAAAGTAAGTTCAGTAATTTAGAGCCATGGATTTCTATGAAATTCCATATTCTTTATTTATTAATTTTCTAATATTCATATAATTTTGATAATTTTCAGTTAAATTTTTAAAAGTAAGAAAGCTTAAAAGTTTGTTTACTTAGATGAGCGTGTTTTAATAAGTCTCATTTGACTTCAGCACAGTGGTGTCCTTGTTTTTTAAATATGCATGCTCAAAACAGGCAGCTACTCTTCGAGCCCAGGGAAGTGTGAGAGGAAATTACTTTTGTTCCTAACCACTAAAGCATTTCGCTGTGTGAGATTCATAATGTAAGCTATTTTTTTAAAATAAATATGCAGTGTACCAATTAAAGCTCATATTTCCAATAGGATTCTAATTCATTTTTTCCCCTGCCTGTACTATTTCCCATTTCGGTAGCATTTAATATTTTTCATTACTTTTTTCATCAAGTTTTTTCCCGCTGAGTTTATATTACTCTTCTCTCTCCTGGATTATTTGGTATCCATCCAACTAAATGTTTACGGAACACCTGACAGTCTTCCCTCCTTTAAAACTGCAATTAAATGAACTTAAAGTAAAACACAAAACTGCTCCTAGGCAGGGATAGTATTCAAGCTCTTTGATATCAGAGAGCTCACCAGCACCAACCAATCTGAAGAGGCCCAGCTACAGACACTCCTCTAGTTGCACCAGTGCATCCAGACAGGATAGCAGTCTTGCATATACACAGATTTATGAGCTATATTTAAATACATGCTTTTGACTATATTTGATTATATATGTTAGAACTATTACTTAAATAGAAGTGTTTAATATCCCCCAAATACAACTCACTTATTAGTTTTTTGAGACCACCTCAGTTTCAGTACTTTTCTCCCAACCACCTTCTTACTCTCTCTCCTTAACCATTTACAGTCTGGTTATTGTTGCCACCACACTAACAAAATTGCTTTGTGAAGGAAGACCTAATTGAGTGTTTTTGTTTTCTTTTCCAATCTCTCAATTAGTTGATTACCCCAAGCTTCTGAAAGTTCCTCCTTTTATTTCCATAGTTCTCACTACGTACTTGTTTGATGATACCTTCTAATTCCTCAACTGAGTCTAGTTTTTTCTATTCTGGAAGTATAGATACTTCCCTCAATTTGATCTTATTTAACTTCCAGGGTTTAATACCAAATCTATCTCTAATTTCTACTTTACCTTGAATAAAGGTATAACTAGAATTTTTAGCAGATGGGAAATAAAAGGGCATTCTAGGAGAGAAGAGCATGAGCAATACGTTGAGGTAGGGGAAACTCAAGATGTGTCCAAGTAATTTCATGGACTTCAATTGGCCCAGAATTTGGATCAGCAAGGTACAGGCTGGGAGATTTGTGTTCATTTGTTTTTTTGTTTTTTATTTGAGGTAAAGAAATAAAGTTGGCCCGGCCAGGCATGGTTCAGGGGTTGAGCATCACCCTAGGATCCAGAAGGCCAAGGTTCAATTCCCGGTCAGGGCACATGCCTGGGTTTGGGGCTCATTCCCCAGCAGGGCGAGTGAGAGGCAGCTAATCAATGACTCCCATCATTGATGTTTCTATCTCTCTCCCTCTCCCTTTCTCTCTCTAAAATCAATATATATATATATATTAAAAGAAAAAAAAAGTTTGGGGATAAGAAAGTATGTGATAATAAAAAACTAAATTTTAAGTAAGTTTGTAGTGGTATACAGAGGTGAAAGGGAAGAGGGAAGACAGAAGATAATGAAGCTACTTAAAATTCATTTTCAAAAGTCCTGATAGAAGGGCCTAGACCAAGGATAGCAAATATCCTTGATAGCAAAAAGTCCTGATAGAAGGGCCTAGACCAAGGATAGCAAATAGTTTCTTCCTTGCACACCCATTCTCATCAATCCATAATGGCTACCTAGAACCCCTCTGATAAACAACTATCTACTCCTGATTCAGGGGTAAAGAGCACCACCCTCTCTCTTTCTTTCAGTCACCAATGTCTGTCACTGGAAGTGAAGAGTAATGGCTTACCCCTGTCTCAACTAAATAAAATTCTGACAAGAGAAATAGAAAGTGACTCAACTAGACAACACCTGAGAGCATCTTGTTTGGAAACTCTTTCTCACTCTAGAACTATGAGTGACCCAGTGTGTAGTTTCTAACCTTTGCCCTTCATCTTTAATCACTAAAAAACTATTCAAACACTCAAGTTCAAATCCTACCTTCAAACCCTGTTAAAATGTCACCTGCCCCACCAGGAACTATGTCCTTTGAAATCCTACAACAATCTGGTCTCTCCCACTTTGTGCCACTTATCATTTCTTCTGTTTCACCAGGTTTCTAAGTGCTAGATGATGAGCCCCTTTTCATAGAATTCATGTCTGATGTATCTCTGTACCTCCCATAGTACATAGGATAGAGAAGGCAGTTATGAGGTGAACACCTGAACGAACAGAGGTGAATCCCAATCTAGCCTAGAACCTAAGCTTTAATTTCCAGTCTAATAACCTGAGATTTTCCATGTGAATGCCTGTTTCTGCAAACTGGACATGCCTGAACTTAATTATCCTATCTACCTGCCCAAATAGTTCTCATTCCTAATTTCCTCTTTCATTTTCCTAATTATCTGCATTTAAAACCTCTGATTCATCTTTAAGTCTCTCTCTCTTTTCCTTTGGCTCTTGCATCCAATAAATTACCAAATCCTCTCTATGCTCCACTCCCTTCTTGTAAAATTCTTCCTAATCCTCTCAATCTGCTCACGCTCCGCCCATCCTTCAGGGCCCAGCCCTACTCCCACCACATTTTATATAACCCCTATTGATTACTTCAGCCAAATGTATTCTGAGTTTGAAACACTAAGTCCTTAATTGACAAATAATCCTAACTTTGTAACATCTCTTCATTTTCAATTTGAAAAATAATTCTTCTGTTATCTACTGACCCATTTACATGTCTCTATTTCATTTATATTTATGTTTCATTTATGTATCTCATTTGTATATCAAAGTTATATACAAACTTCTTAAGAACAAGGACAATGTAGTCCTCCTTAAAGCATTCTAAAAAGTTTCTATTACAATACTGTGCATTTAGTAGGTGCTCTGTATATTTGTTGAACAACTTCAGTAAAACACAATGATCAGGATACATATGCTTTTTTCTATAGAGAACATATATGCAAGTTGAAGTAACTATTTACCTATAATTTGCCTTGATCCAGAAAGATTTTGAGGTGGACTAATGCATGATATTAGAAAAGGAATGTTAATTGAACTAACTTATTTTGTATGTGGATAGATAGATATAAATACAGATATAGAGATACAGATAGGTAGATATAGATACAGATAGATATAGATACGTATATTTAATTTCAGACTTCATGTTTCAAGTTGATGAAGTTTTTATACTTATACATTTATTCAAGAAACATTAATCTAGTGTCAACTTTGGGATAAAACCTTAAAGTCTGTGCTCAGAATCAAAATATTAATTAGATACCACCCTTTCCCTTGTGAGTGTGAATAAAATGTATAGATAAAATACATAAGATATGCATATATAAACACATGTTCATGCAGGCACATACATGTTCTCATTGTTATTAATTACATAAAGATTAATAGTCTAGGGAAAATTTTTAAATGAGGTTATTTTCCATACAACTCTACCCATGAAACATTTAAAAGAATGTATTGTAGTCAGAACCTCTTTTATGAGAGCCCAGATGAGCTCTGACTGATCATTTCCTTAGGTCCCAGGGACTCTCCGGGAGCATACTCACAGGGCAGCTCTCCACGTTGGTAGGTCGGTGAGGGATGATGAAGGACAGGACGTCCAGCCCCCCAGGGCAGGCGTTGGGGGTGTAGGTCTTATTTTTACAGCTAGTCAGCACCACGAAGTAGTGTGTTGGGATGGGAACACTGGTGTTGGCTACATATCTAAAAACATAATTGAAAAGATTTGACGTTATTATACATTTACTTCTAAAGATTATAAATGCCTTTATTTATTTTTAAAGAAATGCCAAGGTAAAAGTATAATAAAAGAAAGTAAATTAATAGAAAGTACAAAAACGTATCACATACTTTTAGACGTCAATGAGCCAGAACAAAGATTTATAGAAGTGCAAGCTTGGCTATTTTAACATGATGGGGAAACATTAGAATACAAAGAAAAGCAGAGCATGCTTTTATGCCTCCTGCATTTCCTAGTTTGGTTGACTCTATACTTCATAGTGACATTGTCTAAGAGCAGGGGCTGGGAGAGGAGCCCCGATTAGATTTCAATTCTAGCTATACACTCCCACTGGATATTTGGACGTGTTCTAATTCTCTGGCATTCTGTGATTTACTAAGTTTCCTCAACTTTAACATGGAAATGATCCTGTGTACCAGCTTCACAGTGTAGAAATGGGGATAAATCCATACCACTGATGTGATGGTCCTTTCATTTCAGATAACAAACATGAAAGTGCTTTTGGAAGTTTTAAGTGCAAAATAAATTTAAGCTATTAGTATGAGTCCTCTAAAAGGAATATGAGCTGGTATAATTAATAACGTATTACTGTGACTTAGAATTTCTGCATGGACTCAGCACTAGACTGTCTGGCTTTGTATTCTGGCCTTTCCACTTAGTTGTGGAATGCAGACAAGTTATTTAATCTCTCTGTGTTTCAGTTTCTTCATCTCTACATGGGGGGTAATGGAATCTAACACAGGATGTTATGTGGATTAAATGAAATAGATGTAATTGCTTAGAAAAGCAACTGGCATGTAATAAAGTGCTATCAAAGTGTGTGCATAATTATTAAATGGTGAAATATAGGATCAATACACACTAAAATAAGGCTAAGGCAAACAAAATAGAAAAGGGCCGCACACGTAGCAGTCATATACATTACTTTATCAGAAGTATAGGCAGAAATCATTGCTTGCTTACATAATCTAGGCTTAGACAATTCAGTCATTTAGTTTGGCCCTTTATACATTTTGATAATAAAGAGAAATAATGGATGAAAATTCTAAATCTCTCTATTCCTCTAAGCTGCATTCAAAGGTAATTTTTAGCAACCTATTATGACCAGGTTTAGCACAAAAATGTAGTTAAGTAGGACTAGTTTTCAACATGAAGCCTGCACCCTCTCCTGGGAGAAACTTTTATGAATCATCTACTATTGGACAATATTATGAATTGTTACTACTTGTTTCTTTTAATTTATTGCTAGACTGGTTCTATATTTATCAGTAATACAGTGTTTTCCCCATCTCCTTAATCTTTACAAAATCACAGATTTCCTTTGCCCATTAGTTTAGAAATTTTTCCAATATAAATTTTGCTAAACTTTCCCTAGACATCATTATTTCTTTGTCCATTAGTTTAAATTTTTGGCATATAAAATTTTTGCTAAATATTTAGATAGACGAGTTAAAAACATTCAACAATTACATCTTTATACAAATATACTATGTAATATTTAGAATACTGAGCTTTTGTTTAAAATATTGAGGCTTCCCCTCATGATGCCCAACTGCTAAATCAAAAAGTCCATTTGTTTTCAAATTACTTACTCTGTAATTTCACTTGGATCATCAAAATGACCATCATAATTATAATCAAATACTGGTCCACTAATGACATTTACTCCATTTCTTTCCAAGGCATGTTGTACAAGAAGAACACTGTGGAAATAATCCCATATTTCTAAAAATAAAAGAATAAGGTGTTAAAAATATCTACCCCTATTGAACATGGAAATATTTTCTATTATAACACACGTAAATTTAAATAGCATCAAATTCTGCTTTAATAATTATCAGTGGTGATTGGGTAATTCTGCAAAATAGTCCATGCAACAAAAATAAGTAGACACATTGATAAAAGCTCTGTGTTGTGAATGTAGTACAGCCTTGAAATTACAATAAAATATGGCTCCAAATTTCTCCCCAGGGCTGAGTTGCTTTGGAGACAGTAAGTATTTAAAAAATGGTCAGAATGCACATACTGCCTTATTACTCTAGGGATAAACACCTTTCATTTACTTATAGTGTCAGTAAAATTTTGTTTTGTGAATAGCTCTTTACAGTTAAATTAGGATAAAAAACAAGTTATCAAAATTTTAGCAACAAGTCACCTAACGGTTAAGTAAGTTACAAAGAAATTATGTGAGAGATCATTCCTAGTCCTGTATTTAAAATATTAAAATGAGATGACTCAATATTAGGAACAAAGTATAATAAAAGATGTGTTTAGTGTGTAAAGTTATAGAGTCACTTAGGTGTTTTTAAATTAATAATCTAAGTATATACTTACGCTTGAATGCTTCATACATAGGGACCAAATTACTTGTAATTAATGCATCATATTTACTATCAGAAGTTCTACTGTTTGCTGCAAAACAAATGAATTTTATTAAATCTAGCTACAAGAGAAAATATGACATACTACTACATAATAGGCAAATTACTATTACATGCTAATGTAAATTAACAGTACTGATAAAAATACTAAGTGGCCCTGGCTGGTGTGGCTCAGTTGGTTGAGCATTCTTCTGTGCACTGAAAGGTTGCGGGTTTGATTCCCAGTCAGGGCACATGCCCAGGTTGTGGGCTCAATCTCCAGACAAGGTGCCTGGGGCAGGCAGCCAATCGATGTTTCTCTGTCACATCAGTGTTTCTCTCCCTCTCCCTTCCTCTCTCTCTAAAAGTCAATAAAAACATATTTTTAAAAATACTAAGTACTCTCCAATAGGGGCCATCAATAATGTAGGCAGTTTTATGCACTTGATACCTGTAGTGGATTAAATGATGACCCTCAAAAAGATATGTCCAAGTCCTAACCTTCCTATACCTGCAAATGTGATAGGTAGGAAAATAAAAACTTTGTAGATGCAATTAAGTTAAAGGTCTCAAGATGAAGTTATCTAGGATTTAGGGTGGACTCTAAACCCAATGACTGGCATCCTTATAAAAAGAAGAAGGTTGGGAAGAGGTGACACTAAGGGGAGAAGACCATGTGAAGCCAAGGCAGAGATAAGAGTGATACGACTACAAGCCAAGCAACACCTGGAGCCCCCAGAAGCTGGAAGAGGTAAAGAATTCTCCTCTATATTCTCTCCTTCAGACAGAGCATGGCCCTGCTGACACCTTGACTTTGGACTTCAGGCCTCCAGAACTGTGAGGGAATGCATTTCAGTTGTTTTAGAGCCACCAAGTCTGTTACACCAGCTCTAGGAAACAAGTGTAATATCAATATGAATGCATAGTTCTTGAATATGCACAAAATAAAAATTTAACCCAAAATACTCTTCCAAAATAAAATTTTCTTAAGAAAGTGAGTTTTAACTCAATGAAGACTGCTCATGACATTACCAATGGTTGGCTCTGGAATTTTTAACAGAATTTATAGCGGAGAGTTAGAAGGTTTCAGTTTATCCTTAATATTTTTAAGACAAGGTGTTTAGTTATAATGTCATTCCCTTGTTGAGGCAAATATATATATATGTATCAACCAACATCCCATGGCTTTACAGATACAATTTTATATGCCAATTAAAATTTTTTTATTAATTGCCACAAGTCTTTGGGGCTTATCCTAAGGTTTGCATAAGTTTGGTAGCTCTAATTATCTCTAGATGTTTTAATAAGCTATATCAATTTATTTATACTAATTCTGTGTTAGAAGTTTACATTGTAATGCTACTTGCTGTCATTAAGCCTTTTTCCCTTGACTATGAACCTCAGAATCTAGAAATTATCTCTAAATTGACCTGTTTGGTCATGGCTTCCAGAGAAATGAAACCAAATATCAGGAGTAAACCCACTCCCAGAAGCTGAAATTATTGAAAATCCCATAGCTGAGCTCATGAAAATGACATTTCCTGATGAACAGGGAAGAGAGGTGAGTTTTACAAAAATCACACTGGCATTTGCATGTTCCCAAGAGAAACGCTGTGTGTAAAAAAAAAAACAAAAAACCTTAAATTCATTCGGGTCCTTAATCCACAGTTTGAAACTGTTGGATATACAGCGTGAGCGAGAGGCCTTAATTCCAGCCAGATTTCTTTTCACAGGCACAGCTGCATTCTCGATGCCGTCCTTAGCTGGGGCAGCAGCCAGAAAAAATGTTTTTTTAGACGCTTGTGCCCTTCTCCAAAGAATCTTCCATTTTAAAATTAAACTTAAACCTGCCGAACTTTCTGCACATCTGGGCCAGATTAGAGCTGATGTGGTTCCCGCTGCAACATTTATTAGTCTTTATTGTAGCTGCTGCGCTGCTTCAGGCCAGCCCGCAACCACTGGAAGCCTCCTGGGCAGCCACTCCAGCCCAAGCAGATAGTTTCCCTGGCGAGTATATGTTTAAGGCACATGCCCACATCCAGCTGATGAGGGCTTTCTAAGCTGCTGCTCTAAAAAGGAGTTATACCAACCAGGAGGATAGAGGAAGCCGTGGGTGATATTCTTGTGTGGTAAATAGAAGGAACATTTTTGGCTCTCAGAAGGAGCAACCCTGACATCAGCCCGCAGACAGTCTGGGGCAGTGGGAGGAAGAGGTGATGTGTCTCCCTGTTGAAAGAGAGAAGAGAGAGAAAAAAATTACGCCCACAGCTGTGGCTCACCCATCACCTTATATGGTTTGTAACTTCCCTAGAATGTTTTTCATTTAACCTTTTTCCTATTTTCTTAGTGAATCAGGTCTACGCAAGCAATGGAAATGGATGCCTTCAGCAATGTTTTCTTCTGTGGTTCCCTCTGGTTGGGGACAGCAGGAGGGCAAATCAGATACACCTTGGAAAGGAATATTTGTGGTATAAAGCCTGAATTGAGAGCAGAGGAATATGGGAATGACTGCTAAAAACCAAAGTCCTTTTCGTGATCTAACTTTAAGTGGTGAAATATAAACTGGAAAAAAATACATATTAAACTAAGGATATTATTCTTCAATTGAGCAAGAACTTCTAATGAATCTAAGATTAATTCAAAGAAGCTGTAAGTTGTCTAACCTTACTTATTTGGGGATTTCAATAAATTTTAGCTATGCTTTATTCACCATGAAAGATAAGAATTTAAAAAGTAGTTTCCTTTGTAACTCTTTTTAAAGACTAATACCATAATTTATTCACTAGTAAGCATCCTATAAATGTGTTAACCCCAGTATTGAAGGTAATATAGCATTAAATTATCATTATATATGATTAGCATATAATCATAAGTAAACACTTTGCTATTTTTTTTAGAGATTTTTATTTATATGCCCTCAACTGCCTACAATGTATATATTTCTTAATAAATTTTATAACTTATAATAAAGAATATTAAATTACGATATCCTTCCTTTATCTATTGCACTGTGCTAAAAGCAAAAATTAGCTATGGTGCCTAAAATGTATGTGGCAGTCATACATTTGTCAAATCTTCACATTGAACACCTTAAACTTACACAATGTTATAAGTCAATTATATCTCAATAAAGTTGAGAAAAAAATAAATAAAATATACAAGATCAATTCACAAAGGAAAAGGCAATGTACACTGTGTGCTATTCATAGACAGAGAATACCATGATGGGATATAGAACAGGTCGGAGATTAAGATAAGGGAAGTCTGAGGAAAGCCAAGCAGAGAATGGACCCCCTAACATACTGCAACAGTGCAGTTGGAAAACACCATAATGCAACTGAGTAGACCTCTCAACTTGATTGAACACACTTCTCTCTGCTCCCTTCTGAAAATCCTATTAAAAGGACAGTAATGATGAAGATACGTAAGGGGTGATGAGAACATTTCAAAAGTGGAAATCAGATAAACATATCTGTTTACAATTGTAACCTGACTTAGTAGACCAGTAACACCTACAACTGAAAGTCTATGGTTAGGGAAAGCACAAAGAAGCAGATTCCTACTGCAGAACCCCAAGGTAGAGCGTGATGTCTCTTTAGGACAGGGGATGTGGACAGGGCTGGGAAGAAGAGTACAGGTTGAAATTCTGTAGACGAGGCTAAATAGAACCTTCACTCACTGGAGAGTGAAGCAATGGAATTAAATAAAAATTAAATAAAAATCTCTATACTGAATGATAAGATTCCCGCAGTCTCACTGTCCCTATGTAGCCTGCCAATCTTATATCATGGGTCAGATTAAAAGATTCCCATTTTGGAAAATAAACCAGCCTAAAAGGGAAACTAAATACTTTCAATTGGGAACCCCCAACACAATGTCTGGTTCCCATCCTGATTAACCTATAGCAAAGCCTATCAGCTGGTGAGCCCAGCCACACAGCTCAGTGCCTCACCATTAAAATAGAAGCCAGGGACCACCGGACATTTCATGGGGGTGGGAGGACTCACCAAGAAGAAAAAGAGACAATGCAGAGAGCAGAGGAAAACTAGCTCCTCAAAGAGATGAGAGTATTTACAGCATCCACATAGAAGGAACAGAAATCTATAGAAAAGAGATCACATAAAGAGCTCTTGGGATTTAGAAGTATGACAGCAAAAATAAATATTCAGTAAGATCCATAAGATGAAGTTGCCAACGTCTCTCAAAAAGTTGAACTAAAGACAAGAGATTGGAAAAAAGCAGGGAACATGTAAAAACATTAGAGGATCAGTCCAGAATTCTAATGTCCAATTAATTTTGAAAAAAGAATTATTTCTAAAATTCTAAAGCTAAACCATAAAATAAGCATGTAGATAGAACCTTTTGAGACACATAAAGTCTCAGAAATGTATTTTCTCTTCTTCCTTTTTCAGGAAGCCCCTGAGTGATATAATCCACCAAAACAAGAAGCAAACCAAGAAATATGAAGATATTTGTGTTAGAGGCAGTGGATTAGCTCTCACCATTTATTTCACTCTCCTAGTGGCAGACACTGGGAAACTAAAAACATTTGTTTACATTCTTTCAAAATAATCCATCATAGCAAACAATTCTGAATGACCAAGTTTCTTTAGTTGGCATAAGTGGACACATAAAGATATTGTAAAATAGGAGAACCAGGACTATTGATTGCCAACTGAGTCAGCCCCATAGACGTCCAGAATACTGTGAGTGGATGTTTCCTATCACACACCTTTATCATTTTATTCTAACACTTTCTGTGTTTACTTAAGTTTTACTTGAAGAAATGTACAATACATAAATGTAGCCATAGATGCATTTTCCATAATGTAAGAGAAATGAAATGGCTGTATTGAACAGTTAAAATTATAAAAATGTTAAGGAAGAGAGTTTATTATAATTTTTAATGAGACTGCAGCTGTGAAAGTTGGGCTCAAACAATTAGTTAAGCCAAATGTTTACTCTTTTCTCAAAGTGGCACAGAGTTTTGGGTTGGGGAAAATGGACCAGGACAGAATTAGCAGGAAGTACTAAAAAAGGTTATGTGTTTTGTGCTAACTGAAAAATCTTGTTTCTTACATACCAAACTTGAACCCCGAAATACAATAAGCATCAAGACTAAGAAAGACAGGACGTGGCCTCCTTTACAAAGGTAAGATTACAGAATAGGCAGCCCTCTAGGGGGGTGGAGGGGAGGTAAATTCACGTCACTTCTGAGTCTTGGGCTACCCACAACCCCCTATCCTTCCCCGCCCCCAAGCCCCCCCACACGTAAACAGCTTCAATCTTGCCACCTTTTCAGAAGTTCTTAAAATTTTTTTAAGCCAGGGGATAGAAAGTCAAGAAAACAATAAACAGAACTCAGACACTCAGGTAAAACCTGAACTCTCAAAATTCTTCAAGAGAAGTCCCTGATGAGCACAGACAGGAAACTGAGGAGCTTTCATTTCTAAGCTGGCAGGGGGGTCAAATAAAACTTGAAAGGGGAATAAAATTATTTCTATTGAAGTCATAGGCTCTCTTTACCTATAAACTGAATGTAAAAGCTAAAAGTTATGGAAGATTAGCTAGTTATGATCTTGCCTTATGGTAGGATAATAGAACTGTATACATTTTTAATTATTTTTCTCATCATGAAATGTGACTTTTTTCTATAGAGACAATATTTCTTATAGGTAAAAATAAAAACCTTTACATAGTAATGTCCCTAGTTTTTAAAGACTCACAAAACACAATTGGGTGATAACTTATAATATTGGAGCTAACAAGCTTTAGAAACAAAAAAGGCTTTTTAAAAATTCAATGACTGGGAGATATATACATATAAAAATAAAGAGAGAGGAGAGATTTTTCAAAATGTGCTAGATTTTCTTCTCTGAAAAAGCCCTCTGGTTTCATATTAAGTTTAGCAAGTATAGTAGGTGGGGAGGTAAGAGGGGGTAAAGGGGATGGAAGGAAAATTGACTTGGGGTGATGAACACACAGTACAATATACAGATGATATATTATAGGATTGTACCCCTGAAACTTATATAATGTTATTAACCAATGTCATGCCAATAAATTCAATTAAAAACAATGAAAAGGCAAAAAATATATATAAAGTATAGATTCTAAATAATCATAATAATTATTGCTCTTATTTTCAATTTTTCACCTAACAACAGAAAAAACAGTTCACATCTTCCTATTAAGTTGGCCCAGAAGCAAAACCCACGTACAGCCTGATCATTTTTAATGGCTTTGAAGCAGCTGTAGAACCATGATTTCAAATCACAACTATCCCCCCAGAACTCTTCTGAGATGACAACAACAATTAGAAAAACCCACCTAAACCACAGAAAAACAAAAGCTCCATAAAAAAAGGCGCAAGCCAATTGGGCCCATGTTCCAAAAAAGTGCTTATTTAAAGTCTGATTTTTCAAACACAGAGTTGATTTACAACATTTTTATGTGAATCTCAAAACATCCCTGTATGTAATTTTCTTGAGCCACAACATACTAACAGAGTAATTTCTGAATTAGAAAGCAGAAAATTGCTAGAATTCCATCCTGTCACATGTAGGGAGAAATACACAAGTTGCTCTGTAGGATCAGTGAAAGGACAGGAGCTTTTGGTAACAAAGAAGCTAGTTTTAAAATAATAACAAAAGAGAATTGTACTAAACTCCTAGTCTGAGTCCACTTAAAATCTCTCTGCTTTTGGTTTCCGCTAAAACTCATGGAAATTCAGGAATGTGAGACAGCAGGGGAAAGTATTAAAAACAGAAACATTCCACAAGACCCCCGGTACCTGGGTTTTTCAAAATAGAGAACTGGATAATAAAACTGGCCTTGAAAATGGTGCCCCTCTCAAGAACAAAAGCAAATAGATAGTATTTTAAGGAATAAATAACTTCATATTGTTATTTCTTAGTATGCTTCACACTATGTTTCACAAGAAACTTACAAATAACTGAACATTGTTCATAATAAGCAAGTAATGCTGCCATTGTGGGGGAGAAAGAAACTTTACCCTTCTAGGTTCTTTCAGCTGATCTGATAATTAAATCTACAGGAGACAGATTAACAAGGGAAAAATAACCAAATTTAATCACATCCATATGAGAACTCCACATACATGAAGAGGTTCAGAGACAGAAAGGGAAAATGGGATATATATGGCATTCTGAGCTCAGGATGAGATAAGACGCCTTGGGGCTTCAGAGGGGAAGAAGGTAATTCACAGGATGATAAGGGCACATGTTCAGTAATTAGAAGTTTGCCCTGCTCTATAGATAGGTCATAAGAAGTTCTGGTGATAACTCTTATTATGGACAAGACACCTAATTTAAGTTCTTTAAGGGAAAGTTCCTCATAAGCTTGCAGGGTCTCTATTGCCTTCGGCTCAAAATAATTCACGTCAAAGCAGTATATCTTGGGGAGGCCTATCCTAAACACCTTCACCATTAACCATACATAGGAACTCAGGTAACTGTAAAATATTTGCCCATATCAGGAATCAACATTAATGCTCTTCTCCCACTGACAACAATTAAGCCATTGTCAGCAGCACAACTGGCTTTCAGAGCACACAAAGCTCGAATTAGCAGTGGGAAGCCATGCTTATTTTCTCCAAAAATCTTGAATTGGAACAAGAGTAAATAAACCAGACACAACCAATCACTTCCCTTCCATAAAAGAAGCGGAACGTCTGTGCCCTTAGCAAGAACAGTAATAGGTTGAGGTTTGTCATCAGAATCTTTGGATCTAAAACACTAAGCTTTTCTCCATGCAAACAGCTTCCTGATGATTTCTTTACCCTTCTGGTTGAAAACACTGCTTTGTCTTTAAGTCTTCAAAAACAATGGTTGGGATTAAGTCATCTAATGTGTTTATTCCTTAAGCATTTACTGGGCAACTCCAAAGTGCTGGGGTTATGTTAAATAAAACTATCCCTGCTGTGAAGGAGTGTTTGAACTAAATTTTTGCACTCTGACTTTTGCTTTAATTTACATTTCTGATTGCAAATGAAGTTTAATTGCTTTGCTCATATCCTCTGCTCACTTATTAAGTAAGATACTTGTCATTCTCTTGATTATTGGTAGAAATTTATTAGTTATTCTAGATCCTAATTACTATTCTGGATCCTCATCTTGTTTCTTATGTGCAGTGCAAATATATTGCCCCATCCATAACTCTGCCTTTTTGTCACACATTAATATAGTCAAATTAATCCATTTCCTCTGTACCTTTTCTTGTTCCGTGTCCTAAGAAATCCTTCCCTATTTCAAGGTTATAAAGATATGCACAAAGGAAAATTTAAATTTGCTCTTCACACTTAGGTCTATAAATCTACCAGCAATTTAATTTTGTACATGGTATAAGGTAGAGATCTAATATTTTCTTGCTTATAGTAGTCAAATGTCCCTGTCATTTATTGAAAATGAGTTTGCCAGGTAGTGAAGAGGGAAGAAGATTTGAACAGCTGGGTTCTCAGCTTCAGTCTGGAGAGAACTGTGACGCAGATCACCTACCCATGCAAGTCTAGCATGACCTACTGGACCCTTCAGGGAAGAACTACCTCTTCTTCACCCTGTGTTCCTGTGCCTACCATAGTACACGGCAGATAGAAAGCATCGTCTTTATAATCTAGTTACCACCACCTTCTAGGTACACCCACCACATACAGGGTGTGCAAAAGCAGGTTTACAGTTGTGAGTACGTGAAACACAGAGCTTATTCTTGCATCATTCATTCTTTATTATTGCATCATGTTCCATATGAACAACTGTAAACCTACGTTTGCCCCACCCTGTATTTAGCGTATACAAAATGAATAGTGTGTCTCTGTACTTCCTGTTGCTTCTCTTTGAAATCTTCTCTTCTATCTGCTTTACCAATTGGCCAATTGGCCTGTAAACAATTTCTCCAGTCTAAGCACAATGTGTTCCTCTTTTGCACCCACACAGTACCTATAAATATCTCTAAGCAGTACCTGGGGCATTTTCTTACAAGACACAGGCCAGTGAGATCCCTTTGGGATCTCCACTGAAAATCAAAATTCAAGTCTTAAAATATTAGAGAACTACCAATTTTTTCCAACTCGCATGGATCAATGGACACAGGAACGTACCGGTTTGGGGACTGTATATGAGCTCCACATGGGCATCCTTATAGCTTTGCCAAATCCACTGACATACTCCCTGTGATAAAGGAGACAGTGTTCCTTGTTCCTCTGCATAACCCTGGGCCTCCCAAATGGCAAGTTTAGTTTCTCCGTTGCTGTTACTAAAATAAAAACAAAATAAAAATACTTGTGAAATTAGAAAATGCTTCTATGCGTAATAACTACCATTCTCAGATGGCTTATTAAGTGTCAGGTACTCTAATAAATATTTTACATATTTAACCTCTTTTGATAATTACAGCAACCCTATGAGTAGGTGTTATTATTCTCTTTTACAATTACAAAACTAAGACTTAGATACATAATTTAGCCAAGCAGTTAACAGCTCAAGGGCATATTTGAAGAGATAAAACCTCAAAACCAAAAGTACAAAGATAATCTACTCTAATAATTGTCACAGGAATGATATTAGAGTTTTATAATAGGTATGTCCTAATGTATTTTTATTTATTTGTTTGCTATTTTAATCTAAAAATATATCAATTATTGATAGTTTAAAAACCTGGGGGGTATTTCTGCCATGGAATAACACTTAGCAGATTAGAAAGATTATGAAACAACCAACATACTTACTGAACTCTTACTATGTGCCAGGCACTATTCTATGTGCACACATATATTAGTTCATTTAATCTTCAAAACAGCTCTATAGAGTAGGTATCCCCATTTTATAAATGATGAAACAGGCCTAGTAAGTTTAATACAAGAACACTTAAAATATAATAACATTGCTCTAGGCCAGGCACTGTCCTAAATTCTTTCCATGGTTTAACTCTTTCTAATAACTACATGAGGTGGATACTATTGTTATAGATGAGGAGATAGAGGCATAGAGAGGTTAAATGATTTGACCCAGGTTACACAGCCAGGAAGCAGGGAAAGTAGGACTAAACCCGGGCAGTTTGGTTTGTTCACATCTAAGAAAGGAAGAGGGGATTGTAGCACAACCATTTCATAGAATCTGTTACATTCTTGGAATCACTCTAACTACCCCATGCTTGCTATTGTTGTTATTAGTTCTGGGTTTGTTTTTGTTTTTACCTCCTTACACTGGCAATAAAATCTTTATGTGCAAAATTCCCTGTGAGCTTATTTTAAAGAATTCCAAAAAGATAATTCTGTATTTTGTTAGGTCAAAACATCAAAGACTTAACATGCATTCTATGGACTTACTTTCATCTCGAGCGAGATTTAGCCTTTGATTCACCCGCTCTACAGCAGTATTCTGCAAGATAATGTGGGAGGAGGGGAAAACGTCAGTCAAGGTAATAACAAGTTTTAAAAATTGATCAAGATTATTTCTGTAGTAATAACATGAATGTTTTACTACTGAACAAAGAAGCCAGACAACTTGAATTTAAAGTGCAGTTGTGCCACTAACTCAGAAATATAGTCCTATTCCTTGGAATACTTTTGTGTGGGAGTTTGAATAGCAAAGGGCATTCTTTACAGAGAAGAACTTGGCCTTGCAGTTAGATAAACGAAGCTTCTGGGACCTTGGACAATTAATCTAACTTGTCTGAGCCCTCTTTATCTTTAAAATGGGGACTAAAGCACCCCCTTTGTAACATTTCATCATTATTATTATTATTATTATTATTATTATTATTATTATTATTATTATTTTAAATGGCAGTTCCATTGAGGTTATCTGGAGCAGTAGGTAGGAAACCCACACTCTTACTCTCATCTTTGCTTTTTATTGGGAAGCTTGACTGGATTTTTGTCCCTTGACGCTTCTTTCTGTTGTTTATTTATGTATTTATTTATTTACTTATGTGGTGTAATTTTATTTTGAGGATTAGAGAATATAAAGTCTTTGCTGACTCCTGACTATAAGGAATAACTCTTACCTGAGGCAGCAGGTGGTTTATTTAGCTCTACAACCACATTTTAAACTTGGCAGCAAGTGCCCCTTTGCATTAGTTTTAGCTTCATTGACTCCTAATAACTGGGCTCCAATCCCATTCTGAAATCCCAGCCCCACCCATGTGCTCTAATTCTCACAAGTAGGCTTTGTCCTTGCATTCTGAGCTCCTGTTCAGACTCCTGGCCTTTGTGGGGCCCTTCCTTGCCCTGGAATCTCACCTTGCTGAAAGTCTCCTGGGTTCTATAGTTTTGCCCCTGAACACAGCAAGTCACCAGGCCCACTAAAATGAACCTCCCAGTACTGTGTGTCAGCCAGCCTTTGAAGTATTGCCTGAAGGGCAGCTTTCACTGTTACCCAAGGAACACCTCCCACTTTGAATGCTAGGCCTTTTGCTGAGTAGACCCCACAGCACCTACCCTAGCGGGTGTTCCTGACACTAGATCACAATCCCTGCACCCTCCCAGCTATTTCTACTCTAAATAACCAACCATGATCATCTGATCCTTAAGCTGTAAGTGAGATGGTTTATGAGGGAAATCAAGAGAGCTCCAGGATTCTACTGTTTTGAATGGTTAGGGACAGTTAGCTCACAAGAGAATTGACAATTTCCAAATAGTGCTTTCCAGTTTACAAAGCAAATTCACATACTTAATCTTATGATGTCTCTCTCATTTCCAGATGAACCCACGTACATTTACTCAGTAAATATCTGGGCTAGAACACAAGCCTGGTTCTCAGCTACCCTGCTCATAGATTAGCTCGCCCCCTTTACATTCTTATAGATCCATAAAGTTATTACTTACGTCTGGTAGCTCAGGGCATAAACAGTCTAGAGTATCTGTGGGCAATGGAACAGTAAAGCCACAAACAGAAAACTTGGACACTTCCTCTGCATGGGATGGCTTATAAAAGGGCACCTTCAGAAGGTGGTTTAAACTACCATGGGTACCGTTGTTTGGTGCTGGTTGAATGTGTAGAAGATCTGTTTTAAAAAATAAGTTCAAAGTAGATTTAAATTGGAAAGCAACAACATCTGTGTGGGAGACAGAAGAAAACAAACACCCACTATTCACTTCCTTTAATAAATTCTGCTGTGATGCAGTTGCAAACTGCCTGTGCCATTCAGTTTCCTGACTTTCTTCCCCCAGAGTTTCCGTCACCTAGTCTTTCTAGAGGACAGGAACAGTGGCTGTGGATGGGCTGTGGGAACTTTCCGGAACTATTTCCATCTCTCTAAAGGAAAGCATCACTGCTACAATGATCACTTTGTTCCTTAAGCATATCATGCTTTTCTAGCACAAAAACCTATACTCTTGGGAAAACAAGTTAAAAGAAGTCAAATAATCTTACTTCTAGTATATTTACTTAATTACGTGAAAATTCTCTAAGGAAAAGTACATTTTAAAAATTAAACTATTGAATTTTGTTTAATATTTAGAGAGCTTTCTCTAATTTTTTCCTATAAAAGCAAAACATACAAATATTTTTACAAATATAGCCTTTTAAGTGGTTTCTGCTGAGAATGACCAAACAAACCCCTCCTAGAACTGGAATCCCACCTCGTTCCTCCCCCCAGCCCCAAGGGGCCAGCAGCCCTGACCACACACTCAGTTTGGGCACCAAAAATTTAAATTGTTAGGCAACAGCGCATGATTTTTTAAACAGATACTTTTTGGTTCCTAAGTCATAGTTAATTACCATAGACTTTGGGAAGACTAAGAGGGACAATTGTGAGCATATCTATGTCTGAATTCCTAAAGCTAACTCACTCATTGCCTTGCCTACATGAATGATTTGTTAATACAATGATCTGAGGTAAGCACATAAGCAGAAATGTAGGTTAGAGTCCCTAAAACTCTAATTTCTTAAGGTTTATGGCATTGAGGGTAATAACAAGTATCCATCCAAATAGGACTTTCTTACCATCTTTTTATGCCATAAATTTTCTCTCTGTAATTACAAGAAAATACTTGTATTTCTAGGAGTATTTTTCCTGCTTTGAAAAGTTGCAAAAGTAATTTTATTTATCTAAGTTTTATTCAATTAAATTTTCATATAGTATCTAACTAATAGAAAAGCTGGTCTCCCGAGATCTAATGTTTAACATTACTAGAAAAACAAGAAGAATTCACTCTTATAGATGAATAATTCTGAATAATAAATAACTCTTCCTCATCTTTTCTACTTTCTGTCTTCTTAGTGCAGAGCCTCCACCTCTGGGATTCAATTCAGCACCAATTTCAATATATATACATACAAATATATACATATATTTAAAAAAAATTATATCCCCATTTTGCTGTTGAGTTTATGTAGATATACTTACCACACATTAGGTTATAAATTTCAATATTGTCAAATGGTTCAACTTCAGTCTTCTCTTTAAAACTGGGTCCATGTGCCAAAAAGAGAGCCTAGGTAGTAATAATGCTGTTAGTACTAGATGCCACCTCAACTCAAAAACAGATGCTAGAAGTGACACAATTTTCTTTCTGTGACAGCTCTCCTTTTTGTATTTAGGCCTCTGCAAGGGTTTCTTTTCAGATTTGAAAATCACTTTTACATCGTTTCCCCCTGTGAGGTTTTACCAATCCCAATCAAATACAATCCATACTGTGTATACTTTTTCTAAATCCACCTGCTTCCACAGCACCTCATATGTCAACAGACCAGGAGAATACAAGCAACATTGGACAACCAAAGTCAGCACAATTCTACAACATTTGGACAATATAAATTAGAAATTTATACACCATTATTTACTCTTTTATGTTCCTTTCCTATCGTTGTTCAAATATGTTAATACTTGACAAAATGTTGAAGTTACTGAGCATTAAATTTTTGCACAACTTGTACTAACCCCACAGATTTCTCAGATATTTATCCCTTTTAATTTTTAGGGTGAAAACATCTAAATAGTTTTGTTTCTATTAATTGATGTTAACTTAATTACATTATTTATAACAGATCTAATTGTTTTAGATTGCCAATAACTAGAAGAAAAGTATCAAGCAAAAATGAAGGGTTCTTTTCTGGTCACAGGGATATATATAATTTTCCAAGATGATCAGCAAAGAATCGGAGTGTGTGTGTGTGTGTGTGTGTGTGTGTGTGTGTGTGTGTGTGTGTGTGGTATGTGTATGTGTATGTGGTGTGTGTATGTTATATGATGTGATATGAGTGAGTGAGTGTGTGTGTGTGTGGGTGTGTGTGTGTGGGTGTGTGGGTGTGTGGGTGTATTGCAAATGGAACTAGATGAGACAATCAGGTTACAAACACCATAAAGCTTTACCTGTGGGGGAATATTGGTTACACTGACTACCTCTGGGGGATATTGGCTACACTGACTCATGGACTCCTCCAAATAGTTTCTTTCCTGGGCTTCTAGAACACCACATGCTCCTGGTTTTCTTCCTTCCCCCCTGGCTCTACTTCTAGGTCTCTTTGCTAGTAACTTTTTGTCTCCAACCTCTTCAAGCACAAGTGCCTAGGGCTCAGTTTTTGGTCCTCTGTATCTACACTTAATTTCTGAGGATCTTATCTAGTCACATATCTTTTAAATAATTTATATACCTACAATTCAATTTTTCATCTCCAGATAGACTCTCTCTTCAGTTGCCTATATAATACCTCTACTTACGTGTCCAATGAATATTTTGAACTTAACATATCCAATTGAACTCTCACTTGTTCCCCTCCAATTAGTTGCAGCCACAGCCTTTCCATAGTCTAAGAAGGCTCTCATGCCCCAACACATCAGACAGATACATTCAGGTCTACCTAGTAGCCTTTGAACTGGCTGTTTCCTCTGCCTGGGACACTTGTCCTTTAATATTTGAAAGCTTATTTCCTTCACCTTTTTGAAACTTCTGCTCAAATGTCAGCTCAATAAATTTTACCCTTTCCACCTTATTTACAGCTTCATACTTCCCCCATAGCACCATGAAACATCCCCAATTTCTACCACCTCTGCTTTATTTTTTCTTTATTTCTTCTTTATTTCCAAAAGCACTTATCTCCTAACATACCAAATAATTTATTCCTTTATAATGCCAATTGTCTATATCGCCCAGTTAGAACGAAAACTTCATGAGGGCAGGGATATTTATCTGTTTTGTTTACAGATGTAGACAAGAGTCCTGAACATTGCCAGTCACAAAGTAGGAGCTCAATAAATATTTTTAAAAGGCAGTAAGTTACCTCCATGGCCTTAAACTTATTGTCAAAACCATGATCACCTCCTCCACAGTATGAACTTGATTTACTCCTATAAAGAAATAATATTATTACACTTTGATCAATCTATCGATATATTATTGCAAATTGAGCTTTAGTAGATTTTTATGTAGCTTCTGCTTTTATATAAGTAAATTTTTCTGTCAACAGCAGCATAAATATAGTTATTATGTTCAAATTCATAACCCCAAAGGAGCAAACAGAATGGAAGGAAGGAAAGAGAAGGAAGGAGAATTCCAGGGCCTTTGACTCTTAGACATCGACAGAAGATTAATAACAAAGGTGTAGATTTAAAAAAGAATTTATCTTCATGCTTACCTGTACATTTACATGTTAATGCCTGTGTTATTAAGAATAGTTTGATTAATATATTACTTTGCTTTAGAAATAAATTTTTGGAACTGGAAAATAATATAAAACTATGAATAAAGAACACTCAAGGCAAGTTAATTATCACACTTGGTAAGGACAAGCCAGTATATTCTGTAAATTTCTAGTTTATTTTTAACTTTTGGGATTTTTCTTCCATAGACCACTGCTCTATTACTTGAATAACTTTTCAAATTTAATTAATTTGTTTTTTGCCTACTTTTTCATATTTTAACCTTTAAATTCAGCAGTATTAGTAATTTCATATGTAGTTGGTTTTTATATTGAAAATGAAATAGCAATCAATGAACCTCAATTTTTTAAAAAGCAACAATGTTATACTGGTTCAAATTAGGTCTCTAAGAAGAAGGGGGACTCCTATTTCTAAAGGTTGGCCTTAAAAGATTTCTCTCATTTGCTTCCCCACTTCCCACCTCCCATTCCTCAAGGTGCACGCACACACACAATGTTTTTGTTTGTCTTTAAATTGTAGAATCAGCTGAGAGTGGGACTTTAATTCATGTCTTTAAAAAATCAACTTTTAAAAAGGACACGAGTGACTCTCACTTAGCTTAAATAAAAATAAGTCATAAGATAAAAACATAAGTCACAACACTGAGCAGGCCACACTCAACTCTACCCAATAGAGAAAAGAAAGAAGCTAAGTACTAGCAGGAATGGGGAAACCAGAGGAGTCCCATTCATAAGGGCTTCAAATTTGATAACCCTAAAGTGCAGGTCATGTCCTTATCTTAGTTCCAATATAATTGTTGGCCTAAGATAAAAGTTGTTTTTAAAACTATTTTTATCCTTACTGCATAGATATTTGGTCCCCAAGATTACTAGACTTATATGGTTAGGGATAATTAAGGTTTTAATTCTCTGTGGGAAACTAGATTATTTATTAATAAAAGAAAGGTCTTTTGAACCAAGTCATTGGTAAAATTTTCTAAATGTGATCCTTTATTGGTCTTTCTATTTTCAAAATAATCTGGGGGTGTGTGTGTGTTAACTATTACTCCTAATCCAACTCAATTAGAAAACTTTGGTAAGTATTGCAAGTCTTTACTTGGAACCAAAAGATAAAAAATATTGTTTGAAAAAGCTGTATTTCCTATTGCAAGTGAAAACTTCAGAAACTTGCTCTTCTAACTATTCTGCTTATGTTTCCAACCATTAATTTGGCTCTGGAAATTACATATGGAAAAATGGAAGCTGTCATTTGGAAAAGGTGAGTTGATTTCATGTGTTATAATTTAGCTCAACTTCCAAGTGCTGTATGAAATCTTCCAGAACAAGTTCTTCCTTATCTTCTTCATGTCTAATTAATAAAGTCGAGATCAAGGCCAGGTTCCTCTGCCCCAGCTGGGTATGACACAAATGGGAGATGAGCAAGACTTCTTCCCAGATACCCAATCCGTTGCCAAGTGCTCTTTCTCTGTAGGAGCTCCCGCGTTTTCCCTTGCTTTGCTCTTCTGCCACCACTCTACGCCAGATCCTCATTACCTCTGATCTGAACAGATCCCCTACTTGATTATGTGACTCAGAACTTCAGAATCTTCCTATAAACACACACACACACCTAATCCTCTTTAACACTATTCATCACTGCTGGAAATGGATTTTGTGTTTTAATGAATACAAATGTGGGACAGAATATGATGAACCAGCACTATCCTGAAAAATCTGAGCCATGAGTTCACTCTAATTACTTTCCTGATAATGTGATGCCTAACTAGTCTCCCTCCACTGTTCCACAGCCTCCGTTGGGGATGCTGTAACACTGAAGGACGGATCCCTACACATCTCCCCAGCTGGCCCCGTGCCCCTCGCTTTACCATCCTCCTCAGTGGGGCAGCTCGCTCCAGCTGCCATATGGAAACGGAAGTCCCACTGTATTTACCTCCAGCCACCTTGTCTCTTCCTCTCTTCCGGGTCAAAGTCACACTCCTCAGTCATGCAGAAGAAGGCAGCTTCATTCAACCCAGCGCTCTAGCAACACAGGACTACTTGCAATTGCTGAAATCTGGTTCTTCTGTCTGGAAACCTGACTCTGTTTGCCATTTCTTGCCCCAGGGCTGCTGCTGGCTTTCGTAAAGTGCCCCGCTGCTCTGAGAAGAGCATTTAGAGAAAGAAGCACCTCTGAGAAGACACAGCCTGGCAGCGCTCAAGGCTTGGCAAGCAGGTGGGTGCCTTCCGCACCCACCGCCCATGTCAGGGCTTGGTGAGCTGAGAAGGTTACCTTTCCGTTCCCACTCATCTTCTTGGCTGAGTGCCCCTTGCAATGCACAGACTGCACAATTGCACAGGGCGGAACCACTGTGTGTGGCAGCATTTAGCTTCACTCATCCCAAGTCTTCAAAGCACAGAGCAGGATCATGCTTAACCGGGAAGCATTCTCTGACCACACCTGTGCCTTGTGCTTGAGCCTAGTGCAGCAGTTGTTACACCTGACTGCAACTGTTGTCTCCCTCCCCATCAGGGCGAAGTCCTTTAGGGTGGGAACTGTGTCTATTTTCATGTCTTAGGAAGGTGCCTGAGACATATTCGTCAGCTTCCAAAAAATCTAAAGCTTATTTCCAATAAATATTTTCAATAAAATAAGAAGTTTTCATTCATGTTTCTCTGAAGGGGCACTTTAACAACACTTTAACTATAGTTTCAAATAATTGGGGTTCCCCATATTTAATAAAATCTAACATATTTGGGGCAAAATAAGGAGGGGGAGGAAGGCGATGAACATAGATTATGCTAAAATGACATTTGCAATAATTTTGAAATGGAAGTCTAATCTAGTTTTCAAATTTTGAACACTAACTAAAGACAGCATACTTTAACTTAGAAAACAGGTAGCCTGAGACTCAGGTGTTAAGCACCGGAGACAGAGTGACCCCAGGGCTTCTTTAGATGAGACTCCGAGATTGTTCTGGTTAGGACTGTACTCAACATTTCCAATAATGTAAGCTGGTTTATTTTGTGTGCTAATAGCAAGAGAATAATAAAACCAGGCTCATCTTGAATTACAGGTGCAAAAAATGAAGCCCTGGGATATTAATTAGTCCAAGTTCTCATGAGAAGACAGGTGCTGAGCCAGGCCTTGAACTCTCTGGCTGCTGCTTTTTCTACATCTCGCTGGTAGCTATTAAATGTACAAAGATCATAATTTGAGACTGGGTATTAATGTGTGAAACCCGAAGGTATTCCAATAGCTGGACTCTCCTTCTATACCCCATAGTCATGCTATGGGATGGATGGGCACTTTCTCATTTGTACCAGTGGTCTCCTAACTTCTTTGATCTCATACTCCAAACAATAACTATTTGGAGAATTTACCCACATTTGGACATATATTTATTTATATATTACATACATACACTACTAACAATCCTATAAGTTTAACATTAGTAAAGCTTAATTTTGTTCGCATATTTTAACCTTTTAGAAAATGCTATTCAGAGCCAAGGTACAGCCACTGAGGCACACAATTATGGAACTCCAATCTCAAGAGAGGCCAGTGCCATCTTGTGGCTGGGTGTGAAACTGCACACTCTGTAGCCTAGCAATGCACCTACTTGGTTTTCCTGGTCCTGCACACACTTATACTAGAGCCCAACTCCCTCATCTCCCTTCGTCTCCTCTTTATTTGTTAAACATATCTTTCAGCCACTGTATTCTCACTTTCCTCTGAATGTCCCCTAGCTTTATGTAGCATACAGATAAGATAGGCCAGAAAACATAATATGATCCTGATTCTATTTATATCCACTTACACCTGGAAAAGATACTGGAATAAAATTTTTAAGTAGGAGACATTAAACTACCAGAAATTGTGTGTTTATTTGTTTACTGGCTGATGATCAGTCTTCTCCATTTGACAAGGAGGGCAGGGATAATTTCTGTATCTCAAATGTCTGGAACAAGGTCTGGCACAATAACATCTTGTTAAATCAATGAATTAATTGGTTTCTTGGAGATTCAGTGATTCAGAATGATTTTTATTTGCCTTAAACACACTCATATTTTGCAAAGGCTCAATAATCAGCATGAATCACAATCACAACTAGAAAAAAGAAATACGACAACCAATCGGTTGGTTTGGCCTTACAGACATAAATGTGCTGTTTTACAAAAACCACAAAGATGACAAAGATCTTAAAGAGCCAGCCTGGAAGACAACTGATATCTTGTCTGCTGCCTAAAGGAGACCACAGTAGGGGAAGTGAGGGTAAGAATGTTCTGGTACTGGCAGTCTCTGGAACAGTCAGTGAACCATCTCAGCCTTCTTACTCATCTCATCTATATCGTGAAGATCAGGAAGCTAAAATCAGCAATCTAATAATGCTCGTTTCAAATACGGAAGTGCTGGATAACGTATGAAAGGTCAAGAAAATGTCATGCTCAGAAAAATGTATGTGATCCAAATAGTAGGGTAAGATCAAGTAAGTTTATAATGAAAGATGGTTGTTAAAAGTATTATAAGTAAAAAGACACACAAACCTCACAGCCAGCCACTGCCGATCCATCAAAAGATGAACTTTGTCGATTCTGACATTTTTAGCAAAGTGTAGTCGTTTTGGCAAATTAGGAGTCAAATAAGGTATGAAATGCTGATCAGGTTTTCGGCACTGAAAAAGAGATACATTATTTTTTTAACTTTACTTTTAATTACATTCAATATCACTTTGTATTAGTACAGCATAGTGGTTAGACACTCATATACTTTACAAAGTGATCCCTTGATATTTCAAGTAGCAACCTGGTACCGTACATAGTTATTACAATATTATTGACTATATTCCTGATATTAAACTTTATATCCCTGTGACTATTTTCTTACTACCAATTTGTAATTCTTAATCTCTTCACTTTTTTCACCCAGCCCCCCAAGTGCCCTCCCCTCTGGCAATCATAAGTCTGTTCTCTGTATCTATGAGTCTGTTTCTATTTTGTTCATTTGTCTATTTTGTTATTTAGATTCCACATATAAGTGAAATCATAAGGTATTTGTCTTTCTCTGTCTGACATTTCATTTAGGATAATACCCTCTAGGGCCATCCATGCTGCTATAAATGGTAATATTTCATTCCTTTTTATGACTGAGTAATATTCCATTGTGTGTGTATATATATATTTTTTATCCACTCATCTATTGATGGGCGCTTGGGTTGCTTCCATATCTTNGTATATATATTTTTTATCCACTCATCTATTGATGGGAGCTTGGGTTGCTTCCATATCTTGGTTATTATAAATAAGACTGCAGTGAACACAGGGTGCATATATTCTTTCACTTTAGTGCTTTGAGTTTCTTCAGATATATACCCAGAAGTGGAATTGCTGGGCCATAACACAGTTCCATTTTTCATTTTTTGAAGAACCTAAATACTGTTTTCTATAGTGGCTGCACCACTAACAGTGCATTAGGGTTCCCTTTTCTCCACATCTTAGCCCATACTTATTTGTTGTAGATAAATCATTTCTTCATGTCACATAAACTGTGAAAGCTAATTCAACAATTTTACCTCCTAAGACAATTTATTAACCTTTTTTTAAATAAGAAGATTTAAGATTAGCTAATAGAATAGAAATATTAAACCTGTTATCAATGTGGCCTCATTCCCTAATTATGTTATTTTTATTATTGCAACAATTTAGGTTGCAATTAAAAATATAATGTAAATTATATTGTTTGATGTTCTAAGTTTTTATTCCTGTATATATGTATGTTTATCCACTATAAATTTCCCTTCCTTTTTTGAGATAGAATAGATATGTCTAGATTTAGAATGGTAATTTTGACTCTAAATTTTACATGAAAAATATATACTACATTAGTAGAACAAATAAAAATTTTAAAGAAGATTAGATCAATTGCACCAAAAATCCCTTCACGATTGACTCAATTTACACTTTAAATAACCTAATTTGCTTAACTTTCAAATCAAGTCAGTGGTTTTGAAATCTAATAGTCTCCCTATTTGTAAAATATTCATGAATTTCTCACACATTGGAAAGTAATGCTGTTTCTTCCATTATTACTGCTATACCTAGATAGCACATTTTAAAAGTATGTAAAAACAAAAATCAAATTGGTAACTATTCATGTAAAAAAAAAAGAAAAAGTGAGGAAATGAGAAACAGACTATGAAGGAACTTTTGCTCCCACATGACCTTTTGGAGAAGAGAAAACAACGCAGATAAGAATATGGGTATAGATGAAAAAGTTCTACGGAAAGTAACCTCACAGGATGATCTGATCGCAAGGGATGCCAGAAGAAATCATAAATTCCTAACCCGGCAAGACATGATGGTAGTCACTCCCCAGACATAGAACTTCTTTAATGAACGGTGTTTCAAGCCCTGTCCATTGTTCTAGTGCAGCTAGGTTAACACATCTTTCAAATAAACAAAACCACCTCAAGAGAGCACATAATCTGGTTAACTATCCTGTAGTCTAATCCCTGCTTTGCTTTCTCCCAACTCCAACACTGCCATTCCCCAAAGAATTTGAGATTTTGCTTCTTGGCAATTGTTGAGTTTTGGCTCAAATAAGCTCTTATACAAATTCCCTGCAGGTTTGGATATTTCTTGTGCAGACACGGGGACATGATTTTTTTCTATGTCCTCATTTTCTCATTTATTTTAAGCTTCAATAATTTCATAAAGATTTCAAGCCTGTGTCACTATTATCTCATGCTCAATTTATAGAAGAAAAATAAGACACACTATGAAAATGAACAAAAAACAATTTTAAAAGAAACATTGCTATCTTTTCCAGGTTTATTTTTCTTCTTTTTCATTTATTATTGCTTCCTTCTTGAGCCAATATTTTTGTAACTTCCAGGCAAGGACATGATGGCAGCTGCTGAGTGTGCAGCTTCCTCAGTTACAAGGGATTAGAATGTGCCTTAAGGAACAGAGAACATTTGACAAGTCATACTTTCCTAGCTGGATGAGTTTGCAGCCAGAGTCAATCCAGGGAACATGTGAGGTACACTGCTAGGCCCTGAAGAAGTCCATGATTTTTTTTTGTACTTGAGAATTTGAAATAAAGACGCTAAAGTTGAGATGAAATTTTGGTCATTTTATCCTAAGAAAGAAGTTGACACTGGTGTCAGCCACGCAGCCAGAATGTTGTGGAATTCACTGAGTTGTCAGTTTGGTTTTAGTTATGTTTGTCCAATATAAGCTCAATATAGGCCCCCAAATAGCAGTACTGGGAGTATTGTGCTACTACAAGAAATAATATGCTGGGAATACTGGACTACTTTGTTCATGGACCTGGAGCTACAGAGCCCCTAGAAAAATGGACTACCACTACACAAAGTAGCCTTAGTCCAGTCATGTCATATAATGGTTTTACAAAGCCTATGGCATCCAACCCCCTGTACCAGTGGGATTATTTGAGATTTTTCCTCCCTCACCTCACCAACAGGACTTCAGCTATATGGATCATGAGATGAGGGATAAGAGGGAAAACATGAGTGGATTTAGAGAATCCACAAATTGAAAAAAACCTCAACTACCCACCCAATCAGCCTGAACATACTGCATGTATACCCTTCACCAGTAGGGGGTGAGATAGTCTAGCCAGTTTACTCAAGATCAGAATATTGAACAGCGTAAGAGAAAAAAGGAGTGATTAACTCCTTTGTATGTGCAACTTAGTATCAGAACACAGTGAATCACACGAAAGGGTTTCTGCTCTAATGGTCATTTCTATGGCAAACTTGCAATGGGTCTCAGGTTATAGTTAAGTTTCTTCTTCACCCACTGTATCTGTAATCATTCACATTTCATCCTAACAGTTTTTACCAAAATTGCATATCACCTATACTTTAAAAAATCTAGCCCCGTCCCAAATAATGGTAAACTCAAGAATATAGTAGTTTAAATATATGGATATAGTAGAGATATATTGATGAATATATTTTAAATATAGAACTATTAAAACTACCACACAAGAGTATTTTCAGGTCTTTCCAGGTGTAGTGAACTCCACCTTGAAAAATTCAGATCGCTTTAAGCATTCTGGAATCTGCCCTGCTCATTTTCTTACCATCTGGGACGTGGGAACCAACAAAAAGCAGTTGCAATTATACTTAGAAGGTAAAGAGATGATTTTTCCCACCTGTACGAAAGATGTGTAAGACTGTGATTCACTATGTTCTGATACTAAGTCGCACATACAAAAATGTGAAAGGTGATGCTGCCTGAAGCTCACTAACATGGCCCCTTTGAATGAAACATCAGCCCATTCGATGAAAACTAGGAGTCAGTGCCAGTGTTACCCCAAACTAATTTCCTGAGTAGGGTCAACTCCAAAATGAAAACAACTAAGATTAAAGCACCTGACATGAATGTAGAATAATGTTGACAGAAGGTATGGACTCAGAAATATAGACTATAAATTTCTTGAGACCCAGATTAAGGTCATTACATTGACCTATATTAATAAATATGTTAGGAGACTGTATACTTACACTGAGGTTCCTAACAATTTCTTCAGAATTAACTGTTTCAAAAGAAAAAAGAAAAATCACATTACAATGGATATTTCACAACTGCAGAAACTGTGAACAACTCAGGTGAATTTGACACGTGCATTTATTAATGACTATGCTCTGGTAAAATTAAATAAAAAATATTTCAAGAAAGAATTATTTTAGCATTTAAGAATGGAGTAGAATACATTTTAGCCTAACAATATTAGGTATTACCATAGCCTTTATAGACTGACTGCATGAATTTCTCATTTGCTGCTCTGTGGTCTTCCCAAGAAGTCGGAAGAGGGGCCTGGTGATCCCTACATCCTCAGAATAGGGGTCTATGGTTATGTACTTTCAGTTTTAGCTTTTTTTTTTCTTCCTATCTGGGCATCTTCATACTTACAGCTATAAAAGTCCTGAGGTATATTACGAGCTCTGATGCGAGGGGCAGGCCCTTGAAACATGTAGAAGTTTACTTGAGAAAAGTAGTCAGTCATATATTCCACCTGGTCACAATAAGTCTGAGCCATTCCTGAAATTTAAAAATATATATATTATTCACTGAATACATATAGGTGGTAACAACTGATTGTCTTTAACCCTGTCAAATAGGAGATCTCCAACCAGGTTTTACTGACAACCTCTACAGCTTACCCTACTAGTCTAGTCTCAGTGGCAGATCCTGAGCTTGCTGGCAGTGGAAGAGAAGGGCTGTGTGTATAAGAAAAGACAGGGCAGGAATATAAAAAGATCCTTTGTTCCATGTGGATCAGTTAAAGTAATTTCGAAGAAAATCCTCTATAGGAAACGAACTAGATTTTATATCTGACTTGTACCCAAGGTAACATGATAGAGTTTAAAATAAAAGTAACACGCGTTCTTATGAAACAGCCCATGAAGAGAATAAGGGTTAGCGGATATTTACTGTTCACAGGATTATTATTTATATTTATATAAGCAGCATGCGCTCTAAAAGCAATTTGGTAGTTAAACCATTGTATTCAACGATTCTTCAGACTACATCTAAATTTTACATTTTAATATTTTACTTTTATATATATAGTTTTTATATCTTACAATTTCTTTTAACAAAATGGTCATTAAAATATTTCTTTTTAATTTTAAAACAATAAGCCAACGTGTTAGAGAATCTTTTTAGAAAATTTTAAAAATAAATTACAATGTTTCCTATTATCTTGATGTCCTAAATATAAACAAAAGTTCTGCAGACCTGCCCTTTCCTCTTAGCCGTTGGAGGACAGTGAATATCTTCCCAGAGAAGACAGTTCTGACCAGCCCATCTAGAAAAGGTCCATTGCTGCTTTCTGTACTTTCAAGTACACCATATCTAAAGAAGTGCTTGGCATTAAGTAAGCACTTAAAAAAATATTTGTTGAATGCCTGAGCACTTTACAATTGTGTGAGATGACAGAAAGGGTGGCAGCTGTTCCTGGTTATTTAACACTCAGGTTAACCAAAATGAAGAGTTAACCTCAAGTGGACAAACATGATGTGATGGGCACTTTATAGAACTCTATTCCCATACCTGAAAAAAAAAAAAAATTCCATAGGGCCTGGTAAAACTAGCCAATACAGTAAACTGCAGGCAATCTATATGAACAAACACCCACCGATTTGAAGTCCCCAAAAAACATGTTTTATGATTGAATAACAATCCAACCACATTCATTAAGTACTATTATTCAATGTGAGTGTTAGAATAATTAAACTAGATTTTAAATTTTAGTTCTCTATTCATCACAGCCTACCCAAAACTTTTTCTTTACCTATTCAACAGCTTCTAGGTCTAGAAGTATCACTATTCCTGTTGTAAGATATAATCAGTGATAAACTTAATTTTTTAAAAAAACATACCGTGGTCAGCCAAAAGGATTATATTGACACAATTGTCTAAGTTCCGCTGTTTTAGACCTTCCATCAACATTCCAAAAGTGTTATCTACTGATTGTAAGGCTTGAATTACCTAAGGGGTTGGGGGGGGGGGAATGAAGTTTAGATTGTCTTCATGAATTAAAGTTGAATTAACCATGAAAATTAAACACATTTTCTTCTCTGAAATTGCTGGTATTTTTAATAGGAAATCAAAGACCAGTACCCAGGCTACCACATTTACCAAATACCAATTCCCTAAATTTCTATAGACAAAAAATTTTAATTGTGTGTCCTACAAAGGAAGATAAACTACGGTCCAGTAAATATCTGAAAAAAATGTTCAACGTCAACAAACATTTCTCAACTGCGGAGGGTTTGATAATAATGCCCAATGTTGGGGAGGGGAATTTACAGAAACTTCTATGGGAACCTAAATGCGTACACCTATTCTGGAAGATCCTGTAACAACAAGATCATTTGTAATCAAAGAGTTAAAAAGAGCACATTTTGTAACCTAATAATTCCACTTCTGGACACTTTCCTAAATAAACACTTAGGGTAGAAATAGAGATTTATATACAAAGGTAGTCATCACATTATTTACTTAGAATCTAAATACCAAAAAAATAAATAATGCCACAGCTTTAAGAAGGCATACTTGATAGCCATTAAAAAATGATTTTAAAGCAAAAGGGCATAGGAAAATCTCACAATACAATGTCAAACATAAAAAATTAAAACCAAACTGTATACACAGTAATACATATTGCATAAAATACTGATTTCATTTTTTAAATATAGTTAGCATTTCTTAGTCAGCACACATGAACAGAAAATGAAAAAGAAATATATTAAGATATTATCAACAGTGGTTATCTCTGAAGAGCAAATTAGAGTAATTTATTATCTATATTCTTTTGTGTTTTTAAATTTTCCTATACTTTATCAATACAGTACACTGAACTGACTTAAGTTTTAAATGAATAACTTAACTGACATGACTTCCCCCCCCCCCCCGTGAATAA